AATGGCTTTAATAAGGGACCCTATATACTAACATTTTTCAAAGGGTTTTAGGGGCCAACCCAGAATATTTAGAGTTATATGGGGATAGTGGAAAAGAGAATTGAAACTGCTATGTAGGGCTTCATTAGGGTAAGGGTATCTGAATAATGTGGCACCCTCAGAGACCCCAGGGGTAGCTAAGGATTAAGTTTATAGGGCCGATGCAGTATGGCAAGCGTGCCATCTGGGCAATGTTGGCGTGTTGTCCTAAGCTTCAGACCGTAAACTCTGAAGCCTATATAGTCTTGAAATCCGCAATGTCAACACATGAGACCCCAGGAAACGGGTGTGCGACCCATTGGCGGACATCCTCAGCACAACCTCTCCATCTGCGACTGTGAAAGCCAAGCTCAAGCTGCTCACAGACATAGAGCCCGATGAAGGATTGCTGGATTGTGACTACTTGCTGGTAGCTAGCAGGGAATGGGATGGACCATAAAGGGGGGTTATATAGGGACTACTACATAGGATCCATTCCCCTATGCCCTGCTGACCCCTGTTGATGTTGCGGCTATGCCTCTAATTGGCTTGCACAAACAGAACCAAAACATCCTGATTCGACATGGTTCTGGTGTACTGGTGTAAGATTGAACCACGAGTATAAGGGTAGTTCTCAAACGTACACCTTAAACCCTTTTGAGAACCGAAGCTCTGAACCTTCTAAAGGATGCTACCCTCAATATGGCCCTGCAAACCTGGGCATCCTTGCAAGGAACCGGAACCTTAGCACTCATCAGTGCAAGGGTTTTAGGCAAAATGTAGGGGGATTGCCATGATTGGAAAAAAGTATTGGAGATCTATATAACGATCAAATGAAGATTTCAAAGGAACCATATTCTCATCTATTCAGGACCATATGGCGAACATCTGGTTGACTTGCTACCCCGTTGGCTAATCACCCGTTCAGGAGCTGGTCGATCGGCAGACATCCTCTACTGCGAGGTGACTTGCGTGGGCATGCGCCAATTGCATGATGCCTGGCTAGCTTTCCAGGGCATTGTTCAGGAAGATGGCACCCTCAAAATCCTTGCTGTGCGCGATCACTTTATCGTGAGCAGTGACCGGAAATGCTGCGAGGTGGTGATTTCCATTGAGGGATACCTGGCCACGGTCATGTTCCTAGAAGCCACCCTAGCCAGGCTTGAAGCTCGGCTAGGTAGTATGTGCAAGCTCGCAGAGAGCATGGGACTCTTGAATGATGTCAAGCCCGAGACATGGGAGACAGTGTCTTCCGGCCCTCCAGCACAGCTGGGGGTGGTGGGCCAGATTCTGGGTTGCTGTTAAGGATCTTGAATTAAGTTGCCCTAGTAACCTAGTATGGGTATATAGTAAGTGACAGGGTTTCCTTATTGTAGTAGCTTAAGTTCAGTTGCTTAGCAGCAGTTCAGGATTTGGTTGGGTTTGCTTCGCCTCTTGATCTTGGCCGCTTCGGCGATGCTCGGCAGATCATTGCAGGAGGCTTTTACATAGACCCCAGATATCCTGTATCACCACCCTGAGAGGGACTACATTATTGCTATTTTTTTGGGCTTCTACAGTATACCCCTAAACCGTAAACCCTAAACCCCCATTAATTTAGCCGACTCTGCTTCCAAGAGGTCCTTTGCGTTTGGATATGCAACTGCAGTAGCCCGTACCGGACGCCAAAAGCTGATTTTCGCCGCTCCATATGCCGTGCTGGCACTGGCCGTGGTAGTTGACGTGTTTTGGAGGGTGCGCGTCGCAACGCGGCGTCCTACCCAGATGGTCTATGACAGGTATCTGGGGCTACAAGGAGATTACTATGTGGGCAAAGTGGCGGTGCTGCAAGCAGGCTCCGTGCTGTTGCAAGCGATGGGGAAGGTGAAGGTGTTTCAATTCCTGATCACTGCCGCTGCAATCGAAAGGTTTCAGCCTGTGATAGTGAGAGATCCTGCTTCTGGGAGATTCCTGGGAAAATTTCTTACTCATCATGGACCATAATTTCCCTAAACCCTAAACCCCTGAACCCTAGACTATAATCCCGCTATAGTCCCTCTAACGCCATGGAAGTTTACTTTTTCTAGGGCCGCTGAGTCTATCCCAGGCTTTAGGAGATCTGACTTTGAGGGCCGAAGCAGAAGAGGATCGCTCCAAGGCAGGTTTTTGGGCCTTCCTGACACTGCTGGCCATCAACTGCGTGTACCTGGGTTCTGCAGGTTTAGGGTTTAGGGTTCTGCAAGGCACCTTTTTCCTTTTCGGTTGTTGGGGGGGGGTGGGGTTGGTTCCTTACACCAAATTGGTTGATCCCTTAACCCTACATCCTAAACCCTATAAAGGCAACTTAATTAAAGGGGCCCTTTTCGTGCCTTGGTTACTGCGGATCCCAGGTACCCCTACCCTAAACCCTAAACCCCAAGCCCTAAACCCCTAGGGTCTACATTACTGTAGATCCCAGGTATCCCTAAACCCTAAACCCTTGTGGATCCCAGGTACCCCTGTGTGCTCTTCGCATTTCCCGACCAGCGATGGGCTCGGCTGGGAGCGGCTTTCATGGACACTCGGTTCAGGGTCTAGGGTTTCAAGGGTTTAAGGTTTAGGGCTTAAGGGTTCAGGGTTTAGGGTTTAGGGTTCAAGGGTTTAGGGTTCAAGGGTTTAGGGTTTAGGGTTTTGGGGGTTATTTAGGGTTTTAAGGGTTTAGGGTTTAGGGCTTAAGGGTTTAAGGGTTAAAGATTTAGGGTTTCAGGAGTTGATATCAAGTTGCCATAACGCAGGAAGCTTAACAATCCCCAGAGTTCTATGTCGTGGTAGCTTATTTCAAGTTCTTGAACAGCATCCCAGGATATCTTGCTGGATTTGGGCTATCTGCTGACTTATGTGCCCACGCTTCTGGGTTGCTGTTAAGGAACTTAAATTAAGTTACCATAATGGGTACATATAGTAAATAATAGGGTTTCCCCAATATAGTAACTTAATTCAAGTTCCTTAATCCCT